GGGGGAAAAATGGCGAATGAGAGATAGAGATTGAGAGATTGATAGCGATGGAGCAGCGGAGAGGCTGAACCACCCCATTGCACAAAATGCCACCCACATCCCCACCCACCATTCGTCACACGCTGCGACAGGAACAGCGGGTACATGCCGCGCATCATGAGGTCATCCAGCACCTCGTCCTCATAAGGCCCCCAGGCCGGAGTCCCACTGCCCAGCAGCTGCGCCGCCCGCGCCTTCTCCTCCGCCCGCTTGCCGGGGTCCCTCCCCACCAGCCCCGCCTCCTTGAGCGCCAGCATCAGGGCCTTCTGGATGGCCGTGTCCATGGAGCTGATGGTGAAGGGGGACAAGGTGGCGCACGCCTCACGAGCCGCCCTGTCCGCGTAGGTGACGTAGTGGTTCCCTAGGGGGGGTGGGGGGGTGAGGGGGGGTGGGGGAAAGACGAACCACACGCGATTTAAGCTGCTGCCAGGGTAAGAAAGTAGCAACCGAAAGAACTGACCGAAAGGCGTCCGTGGCGACTGTGACGACTGTAACCTCGGGATGACGACTGTAACCTCGGGATGAAGATTTGACGTAGAAGTAGGAAGTCCTACCTACCTAAGCCGCCAGAAATAATATAGCCAAACCGTAAACTAGGAGGTGTAGAAAAAGTAGTGAAGGCGGCGAGAAAAAAGTTTGACGTAGAAGTTGCGTAAAGTTGCTGACCAGGAGAGAAAGCTGCATTGCTGATACTGAAGGGCTGCCGGTATGCAAGTGTTCCTCCCAACCCCCCAAAAAAACTAGAACGCGCGACTGACCCGACCGACCCAAACTAAACTATTCCGGCTGGGTGGGGGGGGTGGGGGGGTGGGGGGGTGGGGGGGGTCGGGGGGGTGGGGGGGTGGGGGGGTGGGGGGGTGGGGGGGGTCGGGGGGGTGAGGAGGCAGAGGGAGGGTGTTGGGTGTTGGGAGGAGGGTTTATATACATACATACAAACATACATATCCTTTTCCTGCCTTGAGCGGTTCACCCGCTCCCCCCCCCTCCCAACCCCAGGCACCCCATCCACCACCCCACCCGGCATCTCCTTCTGCAGCAGCAAGGTGGCCGTCCGCGGCATCTCCTCCACAACGTTGGTCGCAGTGGCCTCGTGCAGGATGGCCATCAGCGCCTCACGCACCTCCGCCGGCGTGTGGTGGAGAATCAGGTACAGAATACCGTCACCCAGCCTGAACACAGAAATATCAGTATATGGAACATGTCCGTCGGTATGTCACTCCATTGGGGAGCTCCAAGCCTACGCAGCTATACATGCACAACGACACATACACACATACATACGTACATACACATGACCCTGTACTCTAAATTCCCCCTTCCCCCCGCCCCCCGGTGCGTTTGCGCTCACTTGCTCAGTCGAGCTCCTGGAGTAAGACTGTTGTTCAGCAGGAAGTGATAGACGGACATGTTGCCGTCCACCTGCATACCCGTACCCGGACCGGTCTGGTCCTGGTGCCGTACACACTTGTAGTACCGCATGTGCCGCATCACCGCGGCAGTCAAGGGCGTCAGCTTGTTCTTTTGACGGCTGCAGCAGCACCAGCCGGGGGGGGGAGGCAGGGTTGGAGGGGCAGGGGGGAGACATCTCTTTCTGCACTCCCAAGACGGCGAGGTGGAGGTGGAGGTGGAGGTGGTGGGTGCGCGGGGAGAGGGGAGAGGGGGCAAAGGAGATGCAGAGGGACAGGACAGCACTAACAACCTCTGGCAGCCCAACGATCAACCGACGATCCAACCAACCAACCGACGTAACAAAGCCGCTTTATTACGTCGGTTGGTTGGTTGGATCGTAGATGTACCGTCTTTATTTCCCATACCACGATATCCACACACAGACAGACAGACATGCGAGGAGACAGAGAAACAAACAGACTAACTGACTGACAGACGTTCCCCCTCAAGCTACCCGTCAAGTTGCGAGGGGCTCGCACTCACAGCTTCTTCCATTCCGCTTCGGGCACCGCCAGCAGATCGTCTCCCATCGCGCCGTACAGCGGCCTCCACGGCCTCCCCCCAGAGGATGACGTGTCACTGTCTGAGCCACCACCGTCACTCTCTTCCACCTCCTCCTCCTCCTCCTCCCTGTCCTCCTCATCTTCTTCTTCTCCACTGCCACCCCCTTTCTTCCTCCCCTTCTTCTTCTTCCCCTCCTCCTCCTCCGTCTGCTGCTGCTGTTGCAGTGTGTCCTCTCTCCCGTCGCGGGTCCGCCACGCCCCCTCCTGCCCCTCGAACATCAACAGAAAGGGCCCCAGCACCTCGCCGCTCCGGAACCGCACGTGGTTATCCAGTCGTGCGGCGGTGATCGGCTCCGCAGTGGTGCTAACGTGGTCGGCCACGACCGTTACGGAGGCGCCTGGAGGGGTGCAGGGGGGGGTGGAGATGAGGGTGCTTGGAGGTGATGGTGGTTGTGGTGATGATGGGGGGATGGGGGTTAAAAAGGCTCCATGAACATCAGGGTTGTGGAAGTATCTGTACGGATACATGCACACACACGCACACACGCACGCACACAGACATGCACATACGTGTACAAAGCCCCCCCACACACACACACCGCCACTCCCCACCCCACCTTTCTCCAGCAGCAGCGCCACAACGGGCGGACTGGAGGTGAGGGCGGCGGCCACCAGGGGGGTGCTGCCGTACACGTCCTGGGCGTCAACACGGGCTCCCGCACCTACCAACAACTGCACGATCTGCGCAGAGCAAAGTCAACAGGAGTTCTTTAAACAGCTTTTTTTAACGATTAAATAGCGAATTTCCTAATCCAAAGGATCATCACACTACGACATGCATGCCCGTATATTTCACACCATCTCAAACACTCATAACCGTGGTCCACATCTTTCTATATCCACATGCCCTCTAATCGTCCGTTCACCCGCATGGAGCCGGTTAACCCGCCAGTTAAAACCCTAAACCCCTAGGGCACCCCCCCAACCCTCCCCAACCCCCCCCCTAAACCACCTGCAGCTGCGCGGTCAGGCTCCGCTGCATGGCGGCGCCCTCGGTCTCCCCGAACTCCTCATGTACGGTAGGGCCCCGGTTGATCATCGGATACAACCAGAACTGCTCGTACTCCTGCTCTTTAACAGGTTCGGATCCAGGTTTGGCTCCGGATCCAGATCCGGATTCGCCAACATCGACCGCCGTACTGTTACCCAGCACCAGGAGCTCCTTGCCCCCCCCGGTGCCGCTCGGGGAGGTGGCGGTAGCGGCTGTAGCTTCCGTGGGCAAGTACGGCGCGCAGTTCCGTAAGCTCTAGCTCATGCGTGGGCAGGGGTTTTTACAGGCGGGGACATTTCAGGATTGGACTGGTTTATGGAGTCAAAGCGCCGTACAGACATGTACGACATGTACAGAATGCAGGTCCGCACCATAGGTATAGATACATACATACAACAATACAAGTAGAATGATTTCCTCAGGTACACGTGCAACAGTGAACAGATATTGTCAATGAACAATTAGTCAGTCGTACACGTACGGAATGCCGTACACCGAACCCACCGGATGTAGCGTCTCGGGGTCGAAACGGAATGGCTCCCCCGACACACAGCACCGCAACAAAGAACCCTTGTGCCGTACATAAAGGGGGCCACAGGGGGGGCAAAGGGGAGGGGAGGGGGAAGTACGCGGTGGGATAGAAGTGACCGTGAGTGAGTGAGGGAGACACGTGCCGTACAACACATACATAGCTCATGTACTGCAGGCAGACGAATGTCGCCATCTAAAAAAGGGGCATTGGATGAGAAAGAGAGGGCTCCTGATGCACCAGCACCACCACCACCACCACCAGTACAGACGGACAGACAGACACACGCAATTACACGCACACACACATACGCACTTGCACGCATACACACAAACACACATACACACATACACACACAAACACACATATGTGTATCGCTCACCTTTGCCAGATCACTCCAGGCCACCGAGTAGCAGGCCACATGCAGGGCGGTGACGTCAGCCGGCGCCAGGGCCACATGTACGGCCTCCGGAAAGTGGTGCAGCAGCAGCCGCACATGGTCCACCCGCTCCCGCACAGCAGAGACACACAAAGCCCTGCATGTGTGCATGTATGTATGTATGTATGTATGTACGTCGGTATGTGGGGCCCGGAGAGGGTGTGTGTGGAAATGTGGAGTGGTGAGAGCGACAGGATGGCGCCTTTAGCGGCTATGATAGACGGGGTGAACGGAGGGGGACCTGGGGGGTCTTAGGGTTTTCCTGTACGGAAGGATCGACGGTGATGATGTTGCGAGGGGGTGTGTGGGTGGGTGTGGGGGTTTGGTGGGGCCGGGCGGTCCCATCAGGCCGTTGAGGCACTTTCCCTCTCCCCCCCAACACACAGTAAACAATATAGGCGACTACATACATACATACATACATGGGCCGAAACGAAAGTGAACTACGGGAGAGCCCCTCTTCGAGGACTTCGATCAACCCGAAGCTGACATGGTGGTGGCTCTATGGTGTGGAAAGCAACAGGTTGCTGTGCGATAGGGAACAAAAAATGGGATTAATAGCAATAAAACCCTAAGACCACAAATAAAGCAGTAAACCTGAGTATCATAAAAACGTTATCTTCACTGGAATATCCTTAATATATTATTAGCAGTACAATAATTGTACATACATTTATTTTAAGAAGCAAGAAGGTTAAGTTTTTATGGTCATTGCGCTCATACACAAGAAAACCACGCACTCCACCAGAACAACCACCTTCCCGGCTTACCCCTCACTCGCCCCACGCCTTCCCCCTAACCCAAACTCGCCCCTGTGCCCCCCCCCGCCTTCAGCCACTACCCCCAAGATCACCCCACCAGTAACCCGCATCCGTCCCGCCCCAACCCCCCAAACCCCCCAAACCCACTTTGCAACGCCGTACAATGCCTCCTTGAATAGACCGCCACTAACTCCATGTTCCCCGCCACCCGCTGCTAATGCTGCTGCGGCCGCTCCAGGCCTGAGCTCCATGACGCCGCCCCCTGCACCTGCTCCGGCATGGGGGGGGGCCGGTCCCGCCCCCAGCGCCTTCCTCATGCTCTGCAGCATCGGCCCCAGCACCTCGGGCGCGGGGCAGTTATCCGCATCCGCCAGCAGCCAGGAGAAGGGACAGCCCCACCACTCATCCCACCGGGCCATCACTTCTGCTACCGGGATAATGGGCTGGTACGACAGCAGCTGTACTACAACTCGGGAACTGATTGCCGACCACCGGCGGCAGGAGCGGTGTGCCAGGATGTGCAGCGGACACACCAGAGAGCCTGAGAAGGGGTGAGGTGTTGAGGTGGGGGGGGGCCCCGGGGGGAGGTTAGCCGTGGATGGCTCTTGAGGCGGGTTGGGTAATTCTTTGCGGATACACCCTTGGCATTGCATTCCATCGGGGCACGGGGGTGTGGGGATAGGGCCGGGTATTGAGGGGGTGTTGGGGTGGAGCCAGGGGGAAATCTGCCCCCGACCTGTGACCATGACACATACACACACGCACACACCGTTTCCCCTGCAATGCCCCCCGCCCCTGCCCAACGCCCACCCCTACAATACACCGCTGCACACACCATTACACACATACATACATACATACATACATACATACATACATACATACATACATACATACATACATACATACATACATACATACATACATACATACATACATACATACATACATACATACATACATACATACATACATACATACATACATACATACATACATACACACAGCCTAGGTACCTGGCAACGGCTCCTTCAGGCTGGCCCCGGCCTCCACGAGCGCCATCACCACCTCCGGACCGCACGTAGCAGCCGCGTAATGCAGCGGAACCAAACCACACCAGCTGCGAGCCCCCAAATCCGGATGGTGGGACAGCAGCAAGCGGAGCATCGGAGAGGCGGCCGCAGCCACCGCCGCTGGCGAGGGGGAGGGGGAGGGGGAGACTGCTGCACTCACTCCACCGCCAGCTGCCGCCGCCGCCACTGTCGACACCGGTGCCGTACATGGCAAAGTTCGTACAATGGGATTACGTAAACTGGCGAATATTTGCTTGCATGGGTGCGCTTCATCCTCCACACTGAACCACATAGGGCCCAGCAACACATTCCACCTACGAAGGGCAGCAAAACACAGCGGGGGGTGTTGCGGGCAGGGGGGGGGGGGGAAATGGCCGGAACAACAAGATTAAAGCCGCGGCACAACGCCTCACTCAGGGTTCTGTTTAGCATGCAAAGAGTAAAGTGAAAAGCGCCTTCTCTCCCTCCAACTCCCCTCCCCTCCCCCACAAACTCAGCAGTAGCAGCTACCTAAGTCCCCACTGGTCGTACAACCACCACCGAACACCAAAACCCCGTAAGGCCTCTCCCTCTTAGAGTGCAACTATTACGATGTACAATGCCGTGCAATGCCGTACATACACTTACTCGAAGTTCATGGTCTTCACTTTACACACACGGGGAAATATCAGGTCTGTGGCGGTGAGGAAGCTCCCCGGGGGCAGCCCCCGCTTGCGGTCCCACCTCCCCACCACCTCGGGAAGCTGACCCGACGTTTGCACCATGTACTGGTAGTGCGCCCGCTCCGCGTCCTCCTCGCCAATCGGCTTTCTGCCAAACCCGGATCGTCCAGTCCTTGCGGTGGTGGTGATGGTGGTGGTGGTGGTGTTGCTGCTGTTGCTTTTCGTGTTGTTTTCCCGGTTCCGTGCCGGGATGCGGAAGAGGGAGAGGAAGGGGTAGTTGGCTTTCCATAAACATGGCTGCAGAGGGGGGCGGAGGGGAAAGAGGAGGGGTGGGCGGGTGCGTGTTAGGGTTAAGGTTGGGGCCGGGGGTCAGAGGGAGGGAGGGGGACTTTTTAATCACGCCGTGTCATCTATCCATTCCTTTCATCCCGGGTGAAAGCAAAACGGGTCAAAGCAGGTGGGGGAGTGAACTGGAGTTAAAGTGACGACAGCCGGGGGTGTATCCGGGCTGTGTGGGAATGAAAAAGGAGGATGAGTCCACACCAAAAGCGACCTGGTGCACATGGTGCAACCCTAAACTACAAAATCCTAAAACCCTAAAACCCGCCCCAGTCGCCTCCAGGGAAGGGGGGATTGCCTCTACTTAGCCCCCCAGCCCGCAGCTCCCTAACCCCCCCAGCCCGCAGCTCCCTCACCCCCCCAGCCCCAGCCCCCCTCATCCCCCCAGCCCCCCTCACCCTCATGCAACACAGATGCAAGGGGGTGAGATCCCAACGGCTGATACGGCAGTTAATCGAAAGACCCCGCTCCAGGAGCCATGATGCCGTACGCACGTGACCCAGAGCCACTGCGTTGTGCAGTACAGTGCCGTACGGCCAAACCCAAGGATCAGCCACGTGCCAGGCACACAGCGGGTCAGTCCCGTGCTCTGCGGGCTGCCAGTCCTCCGTGAACAGTGGAACAGGCTCGTCCAACCGCCCTCCAGCGGATACCTGTACGGGTTGTACGACACAATACGTACACCCGTACACCATACAGCAGATGGAAGGCAAGATGGAGCGTAATGAGTGAATTCAGTCAGGAGTATGTATGTATGTATGTATGTATGTATGTATGTATGTATGACTTAGATTACACTGTGGGCCGCGAGAGCCGGGGGCCGAAGCCGAAACACAGCGCAAGGATCGGGAGCACACAGCATGTATGTATGTATGTACTATGTATGTATGCCCCCTTTGGGAGCGAGCGGCCCCCGGTCCCCCCTTCCCTTACCAACATCCCGTCGCACCACCTGACTGACGGGGGGTCCCTTTCCTCAGCTCCGCCTCCCCACCTCCTCTCCCACCTCCTCTCCCCGCCCTCAACAGGTCGGGTCCAGGTTTCGGGTCCGGGTATTCTACACATGTGTTTCGCTGCACTGGCACCCCCCTCCTGCGTGCGTTACTCCTTTCGAACTGCATTACCCCCTCAGCATGTAAAACCATAAAACCCTGGAGCTGACCCACCCTCCACTACCCCCCCTCGCCCTCCTCCTCCTCCCCCCCCAGGGGCCCCTAACGGTCACCTGCTTGTGCAGTGCATCACCATCTGCAGCATCCGCCGCCGCCAGCGCCTTCTCAGCTAGCATGGCAAGTCCCTCCGTCGGCCCCCCCTCCAGTGACCCCTTTCGAGCCGCCTTCTCCAACCTGGACAGCAGCGCACGCAGCTCAGCCGCCGGGATCTCCACCGCCGCCGCCAGCGGCACCGTGCCATTCAACACACCACGACGGACCCGTGGGTCACTTCGAAGCAAGTCGTGAAGTGAGTGTACGGAAGACCAGTAGCGGCCCGCGTGGGAGGCGGAGTAGGCGGGGTTGCTGCGGGGGAGGATGCTGCGGACAGCGAGAAGGTGGGTGGGTACGACAGCTGTTTTATAAAACCGTACGGCGAGTGCTGGGGAGTGGAAAAGAGCAAGAGCAGGAGCAGAAGGGCCTGGAATTATAACTTGTGGCACTTTAGGTTGTACGACAAGCGGTTGCCCTTTTATCGACAGGCTATCTGTAGGGCCCTTTGACAGTCCTGAGCCCCCCAGCGGGGTGTCCAAATACCCACACATAAACACACATACACACACGCGCCCCACTTTCGTACCTGACACGCCGTACACGGCCGTACAACCGGGCCTCCAGCCTCATGGCCAGCAGTAAGGTCGCCGGGGTAATGGTTCCCCTCGGTGCAGGGGACACCGCCGCCACCCCCACACCCTGCAGCCCCGCCACCAACAACCGCCTAGCCTGGCTACGAGCCGCCAGTGCAGCCGCAGTCGGTACGACAACCTTGGCGCCCGGGTGGGGTCGGGCCTTGGCGGCGGCCAGTGCCTTAGCCTCGGACATTTCCCCCCTCGCGTTGGGCTGCTCGTTCAACTTGGTGCCGGGGAAAAATACCAGGGCGCTGCCCTCACTACTGCAATACACGGGCAGTAGCAGTAGCAGCAGTAGCAATAGCAGTAGCAGCAATAGCAGTAGCAGCAGTAGCAGCAACCGTTACACAGGAGACGGGCGCTCAGAAGGAAAGCTCCATTACCCCGTGTGTAATGTTTTTTTTGTGTGCGAGGACGTGCCTGTTTATACGTATGTATGACTTAGATTACACTGTGGGCCGCGAGAGCCGGGGGCCGAAGCCGAAACACAGCGCAAGGGTCCACGGTACCTCGGGTCCACGTCTATGTATGTCTGCACGTCTATGTATGTATGCATGCATGTATGTAAACACTTTACATACATACAGCCCGACATGAAGCTTAGGTACACGTACCAGGCGCAGAACAGCGTCCTCGACAGGAGCATCTCCCGGTCCTCCAGCGCCTGGAAGTCCACCACCTCAACCCCAAAAGGATCTTCACCGTTGCCGCCGCCGCCACCACCAGCACCCCCACCCCCACTGCCGTTCAGGTCGTCCCCTTCTTCAAGCACCCGCCTCCATTGCCGACTAGTCAGGTAGAACCAGACATCTTTTCTGTATTTGGAGTGCAGGGGCTGCTGATGAGACCAGGTGGGTTGGTCCCAGCGGTTACACTCGTACGGCCAGGCCAATTTCAGTTGTACGAAGTCCATGGTGACGTCAGCGCCGCGGGGCCAGGATGGCTGGCTGCTCGGGGGAGCGGGAGCGAAGGAGGGCAGGGCGGAGGAGGTGGGAGGTAAGGGCGGAGGAGGTGGGAGGGAGGGGGGTTGTGACACCGGGGGATAGCCCGGCCCTCTTCCCGGGAGGGGGAGGGCTCGGGAGGAAACAAAAAATGGTTTTAGCAAGGTGATGGAGGGGAGAGCGGGACAGCGGAGTTTGCATCACTGTATATGGCGATACATACATACATACATTACATACATACATACATACATACATACATACATACATACATACATACATACATACATACATACAGATGTGAATCGCAGCACACCCACCGGGTCTTAATGAGCAAGGCGGCTCCGGAGTCCAACGTTCCACCTTCCTTCACCTCGTGCTCCCCCGGCTCCCGCTTCTCCACGTCCCCCGGAACACCCGACTCGCCGCCTTCCGCGCCGCCGGAAGCTGCTCCTCCCGCTACCGGACCCGCCGACGTACACGCCGATGTCGTACTCTTCCCCGTCGCCGCTGCTGCTGCTGACGGCTGGGCTGGCTGCTGCGGTGTCGGTGCTGGTGGCGGCGGCTCCTCCAGCGGCGGCAGCAGACCCAGGTCGTACAGTAGTCGTACCATTGAGAAATCCACAGGTTGGGATGTCACTGAAGTAGACTCCTTCTCAGTAGACAGCACGGACACGTTCCACCAGGCCTCGCGAAGGTGGGTGAGGAACACGCGCTCCCTGGCTGCCCGCACCGCCCTAATGCCGGCTGCAACCTTAAAGTATTCGGAAGGCGACTCTGTTGCAGAGCTGGGGGGAGAGCTGCTTCCGGGCGCTACTGGGGCCGTCGGCGGCGGCGGCGGCGGTGGCAAGCACTTGAAACTAAGCACCTCCGCACTTTGATGTTCCGCCTCCTTCGCCGCCACCACCAGCCGCCGAACGCCACCGTCATCACCGCCAGCACTGTCATCACGCTTACCGTCACACCCACTGCCGTCACCATCACGTAGCAGCGCCCGGAGCATTTCCGCAACCTCATCTTGCCGCAGAAGAAACTCCACGCCGTGCAAGTCAATAACTCGCAACGACGGGAGGCTCGTCGCCAAGGCCGCGGGGAGGGGGGAGGCCACCAGGCTGTGCCGGAAGCTGATCACCTGGAGACGGCGCAGGGCCGACAGTACATAGAGGTCCCAGCTCGCCGGATCCAAGCGGGGACGAAGCTTGGTAGAGACTTTAGGGATACAGCTGAAGTCCAGGTAGGTGAGGGAGCGGCTCAGCGCGCCCAGCCACAACGGTGGGAAGGGGGGCGTGGGAGGGGGGCACGTAGCGGCGGTAGGGTCCTTGTCATCGCCGTCGTCGTCGTCGGACTTGGGCTGCGAGGCAGTTTTAGTGGGCTGGGATGACCCCAACATGATGGCGACGGCGTACGGCCCGTCTGGTAAGGTGGAGCACCAGCCATCCCCGGCCTTGATGGCGCCCGGGGCTGGAGGGGTGATGGGGTTGGACTTAGTCGCTGTATCATCCTGTGGGGGATTTTCATAAGTGCGTTCAATTGCCTTTAGGACGGCTTCAAGTCGCTGGGAGTGAGTAAATGCGGCCAAATGACGGCTCTGCGAGCCATCGTCGGGTTGGGAAGGGGAGTTCTTGCCCTTGACAGGCTTGTCGTCCGCGGGGGATGGTGACGGATATGGCTGAGCGTCGAGGTACGCTTGAACTAAGGCCCCGTGGATGGCAGGGAGGCAGAAGGATGAGAAATTGTCGGACAGCCGGGGCTCTGGGGGTTCTGCCGGCGTGCAGTCGCTGTCGCCACGGGCATCGGAGGTGCGCGGCGAGTCTAATCGCAGCACTGCGGCGGTACGAACGACGCCGCTGGCCGTGTCCATGGGTTGACTTGAAAAAGTAGTTGTTAATGGTAACGGACGTGACGCTCGTCAGGGCGTCCGTGAACCTTTGAACTGACCGCACATGTAGCTGATAGTCAGTCGTCCGGTGGAGTCGGGAGGCATTAGAGAATCAAACCATTAGAAGGTTAAGGAAATAGTGATGAGTGAGAAAGCATCCAGTAGTGTTTGGAAAACTCAAAAAGGCCTAGGTAAACAGGAAGCGGGAGTGAGGCTTTACGGTCTGCACCCCGAGCCAGCATCGCCATAACCTATTTTGCGTTCTATAGCTCCATTTTTTGCTAGTGGCTGCCAACCTCAGCTGAGGATTGTGCCTGGGACTAGGTGGGTCCTAGCGGGACCATTGGTTAGTCCCATTTCCGTACAGTACATTTTCTCCTAGCATAGGCTCAAAAGCTTGAGAGACTAATATTGTCAGATATTTAATTAACTGGATCTGTTTGTGCTGCGTTTTCCCGCAATCAAACGTGGTGTATCTTTGTCAACCCCGCAAGAAAGCACAGGCTCGGGGTCTGGCTAGGCAGCCCGCTGTTCCGCATTCATTTCTTATATGGATGAAGAGCTCCATTAGATTTGATTGATAAGTAAATTGTTGAGGATTTCTAAATTCTAGCTTTCTGTGCGACAGATAGTAACTCTGGAGTGCCTTCAAACTTGGACTACATCTTACACTTTTCATATTTTGAGATTAGTGTACTACCTGATGTTCGCTGCCGCCGTCCACATGGCTGACTGTTTCGTGTGGGAGGTTTGGAAAACATGGGTATGCCCTGGGATTACCGCTTGGAAGGTCGCGGATGTTAAAGTGGTGAAATTAAGCATACAACGGGGAAGGAAAACTGTGAGTCTGTGCCGCGTTCCGCGCTCGCTCCGGCAACCGAACCTACTGCATGCAAGCATGATGCACACAGTGGGCCGCTTATAAGGAGGAAAGGATAAAAAGAATATAAAAACATAAGCTAAGTTTCATCTTCAGAGTCCTCAAAACATGTTACTCACACCGCATCAGCAGATTAAATGGCCGATTATTACGAACAGACAACTGTTTAGGTTAAACGCACGAGCAGTGGGTACATCGTCAAGAAGTAATGTATGCAGGGCGGTCGAACTTACAGGTAGGCTCCCGATGCTCTGGACCTTGACTGACGCACCAGTCCATTTGAACACAGCCCTATGTTGTCATGCGTCACAATCCTGAAAAGCACAGTCTCGGCTCACTGCACTTTGGCCCCTGCTGGTTCGTACGCTGGCTGGTTTACACCCCGATGGTGTCGCGCAGGCAGGCAGGGTAAATACTTGGTGGCCAGACCGCCGCAAGGAAACAAATCGCCCTATCATAAAGCTGCTTCGCATGTGCCGGAAATACAAAGTACCTCCGCTTCGTATGAACACGGCCGACCCGCGCGACCCTCGCGACCCCTCCTCGCGACCCTCGCGACCCTCGCGACCCCATCTTCATTATTGCACCCCCCACATCTTGATACCTTTCCAATCTCTTCTATATCCATTCCAGATCCAAAACCGAAACCATTTTCCTAACTACCCATCTTCTCTGCACACTGCAACCCCCTCCCACACAACACACTCCTCAGGGGAGGCGTACGAGGACATTGTTGACCAGCTAGCCCGCAGAGTGCTCTCACGACACTCCGAAAATTGGAATTCAGACTTTAATTCAAACTCAAGTTCAAATTCAAATTTAAGTTCCGGGAGGGTAGTTGTGGGCATCGCCGGTGCTCCCGGCAGCGGCAAGACCACCTTGGCGGCCGCAGTGGCGAACAGAATCAACCGGCTGAGGCGAGGACAGCCTGCTGGATGGGGCGAGGAGAAGCCGGGGGCGGTGGCGGGTGGAAGTAGCGGCAGTAGCAGCCATGCTGCACCGTTTGCTGTGGTGATGCCGATGGACGGTTTCCACTTCTACCGGTGGGAACTGGATGCCATGCCGGATCCCGTGGTGCGTGTGTATGTATATGTTATGTATTATGTGTGTATTATGTATGTATTATGTATATATGTATGAAAGGAGGGTGGAGATTAGGTCTGCGGGTCATGTTTCCGAACCTATCCTGAGGCCGCAGCCGGGTGGGTGGGAGGTGGCACCTAGGGCTTTAGGGTTTGGCCGCGTGGGCCCTCTGGGGGGGGACATACGTGTGCGGGGGGGAATAGGGTAAGAGGAGGGCGAGGGGGAGGGGACTGGTCTGCGGAAGGGAGAATGTTAAGGAGGTTCGAGGGAGTGCGTGGCCGAGTCCCTTTACCGCCCCCTCCCCTTTCCCTCCCCCCCCCTGGGACAGGAGGCTCACGCCCGCAGAGGAGCCCCCTGGACCTTCGACGCGGCTAAATTCGTGGATGCCGTACGACGTGTACGACTAGCTGCTGGATGTACTACTAGCAGCAGTACTGGGTCTTTGGGTTCGGACTCTGAAGGCATGATGAAGGTGTCTGTTCGTCTTCCCTCCTTCGATCACGGTGTGGGGGACCCCCGGGAGGGCGACATCGTGGTGGAGGCGGACACGGCGGTGGTGCTTGTGGAAGGTCGGAGGGGGCCAGCGGGGGTTGGGAGGGCGGGTGAGGCAGCTGGGGACGGGGGGAAGGAAGTCAAGGTGGCCGTTTCCCGGTGGGTATGGAAAACCCGCATAAACTGCCCGCCTGCAGCAGCAGCAGCGGCACTGCCGGGCGGCTTTGGGGGCTACGAGTGGGATTGCGGGCCTGGAAGGTAGAACCGTGGATGGATGGAGTCCCTGCCGTACTCGACCGACGCTAAGTCAATTTAAGACAATTTGAAGCTGGGAGAAAGGGGTACGGCGCACCCCGTGCTCATGTAGATACCCCCCTGCTCACTTCGTGTGCTGCGTATGTCCCGATCAGGCAACTACCTGTTGCTCGATCAGGAGCCTTGGCGACAGCTGCGGGAGCTCTTCGACGAGACCTGGTTCGTCAGCTGCCCGCTGGATCTTGTACGACAGCGCTTGTACGATAGGCAGACGGGCATTGGCCTGGCGCCCGAGGTAGGTGAACGGGTCTCAACGGGACGAATGTACGGCATGTGATGTACCAACAGGGGTACTTACTTCTGTCACAACGTCTTTCTAAACCTTGGGTATGTGCTCGGGGTTGGCCCGGGAGGGGCCACCCGGCTCCCGAATCCGTACAGCTTGCTGTACAACTCAAAGGCAGTTCGCGTTTCGCCAAATTTATTTGTCATCTTCGGCAAGCCCCTTTTGTGATTAAGTTAGTTAGTTGTCTGTTCGTTTGTCCACCGTTTGTTCCCAGGTTTCCCTGGAGCGTATCCGTACCAACGACCTGCCCAACGCGGAGCTGGTGGTGGGCAGTGCGGGGGCCGCCAGTGTGCTGGTCCCCGGCTGGCTGCCGCCGAGAAACCACACCAACACGAAACCGCAATAGGAGCAAAATATGATAAGCAGCATTAATAACGGACAGCAGGTTCCGGAGCGGGCCCAAGCTGCCGTTGAGGCTATTGTTGCTGTTGCTGGTGTTGCTGTTGGCGCTGGCAAGAGAGGTGGATTTATTCCCCTGGAGACCTTTCGGGGGTTTGGAAGGCCGGCGGGTGCGCGCGTTTGTATATACGTATGTATGTGTATATGTGCCTATGGGGTGCTACATATCGACCGTAACAATACCGAGCCCCCGGATACGATCTGCTGATGATAACCGGTAACGTAACCTGGGGGCCCCCGCACTCGACAGCTAGGTACTCGCAGTAGCTAGCCATCGTGGGATCATCTGCCGCCAGCTCCCCTCCACCCCCGCAGCAAGAGCCCCCTCCAGGTAAAGTAGTCCGCAGCAGTGGCACCCCCCCCCCGCCCCAGGGCCCCCCCCCCAAACCCCTCCCCCTGTCCCTAGCACACCCCACCACCACCCGCCCCTGTCTCCAGCAGCCCCGCTTACCACCTCTCCCCTCTAAGCCACGACGACATCACCCTTCAGGAGCTCCCCCTCCGCCTCCAGCCTTATCCACTTCCAACTGGCTGTGTATCCACCGCTCCGAAGGAGCTTAGTCCTTGGCCGTACAGTCAGAGGCAACTGCCCCAACTGATGCCAGCGTTTGCGAAGGGGAATGTATTTCACAATGTTTTGTGTGAGGAGATACGTCTTGCAGTGCGTTCTGAATATACTGCCACCAACTGGGATGCCATGATCCTAAGGGGTCTCAGGTGCTTCGGGGACCTGGATGAAGAGGGAAAGAGTGTCCCGCGTACAACGACCTATAGGAAGGCCTTCTCAATCCCTAGGAGGTGTACGCCAGGCTGACATCGAGCCCGTGTCTAATATGAGGTCTGTCATGGAGATTGATGATCAGCGCGGGCTTGCGCAGATCGTACACAACACCTGGATGAGTCAACGCACGCTGATAGCCGAGTAATAAGCCTGAGGTCGCTTACTCTCGGAGATGGAGTTCATAGCCCCTTCTTTATTTTTCCTTTTCTGTTTCTTCCTTCTTTTTTGCTACGTTAGAACTCGCTGAGGCCCATGAGCCTCCTGGCTCGTCTGGGCCTTACGAGCTCTCGCGAGCTTGTAACATAAGATAACATAAACCGAACAGGACAAGCCTACAACATTCGTTCCAAAAGGACGTTAGAAGCGCCCTGCATTCCGCTAAGGTACAGCTTGTTAGCTATTTGGACGGAACATTCTCTTTTGCGTTCTTTTCCGAGTACCTCTTACACTGCTTGTCCTGCGCATCCTTTACATGTATTACGGCTAAGGGATCCCTTCCGGATGATGGAGAATGTGCTTTATGCTTGACCAATTACACATCACGATCAGCATCGATTAAGCGGCTGCAGGAGCTGGTACCAGCTGGTAAGTGCTGAGGGCCCGATCCACCGCCGGGAGGACGACTTCCTGAGGCAAACACGACGGACATCCCGAACGGTGCTTACATCCGTGTTATGGAAAATTGCTCTTACGTGTCTGGACCGGACGGATGGACATGAGGCAACTTTCTTATCGCATATACAGGGCATGCAACGGTATGTGTTAACCATGGAAGGCAACAATTTTCTTTCTAGTTGGTCACCAGGTCATAGTGATTTATCCCTTTGTGTTCAGTTCTTAGGGTTTAACCTCATGCCCGCCCGTACCGGAAAAGTGTTTTCCGATACGGCGGTGTCAGGAGGTGGTATCTACGTCGTCTTAGGGGCAACCCTAAGACCAAGGGGATGAACGAATAGATATAATTTCTGTTTCTTGGCTGCAGCAAGTGTTGTCCTGGGCGCAACGTTGATGGCCTGTTGCCGACGCGACCTCCTATACGACAATGCTAGGCAAACGCAGCGGATGTTCATGAATTACTTAGGCGTTCATATTACTCGTCACTGCTTCAACGGCACTGGACTGGGCGGATGTAAGACGTGCGTTGGTGGACGCGATGGCCTTACGAAGGGGGAGAAAGACGCTTAGGAGATGCTTGGATTGTTATGTACAAGTCACGGACGGGGACGTTTAACTCTTTGAATGCTGAATTTTAGCTACTAGTCGGGTTCTGAACTTCGCCTGTTGTTGGTTCCGCCCGTACAGGAAAAGTGTCTTCCGATATGGCGGTCACAGCAGGTGGTATCCACGTCGACTTGTATGCAAACCAAATACAACCAGGGGATGATATGACAGTTCTGGAGTGCATGTTTCTTGGCCGCAAGCAGCAGCAAACTTAAATCGCGTTGGGCCATTTGCCCAGGCTGCCGCATGGACGACAAGTCAGGCTAATGCCGCTGATATCCATGAAGGGTTCATTACGTGCTGAATATGAAAGATTGCTACGAAGACTCTGGCCCTGACGGATGTGCATTGTAACGAAGGAAACGGATGCAGAGGTAGCACCGCGGCGCATGGAACGCTAAGTAAGGATGATGGACTGTAAGCGTTAATATTCGGAGCAGGGATTTCTGTCTTTTCGCTCGGTTCTGAAAGTCTAACGTCGCTTGCGCACCCCGTTTGTTCGGGGAACGTACTTAGATCTGATACGGCTCACCCGATTAGCAATAATGCTTTCTATGCTTGCATAACCATTTTGCAAACACAGACCATTATGCCAAATCTTTGCTGTAATGCCTCTGGCCCAGATGACATGGCATGTACAACATGTGAAATAGACTCTGCTGCCCTGCTGCAGTGCACTTCAATCCTTTATTTGTACATAATATTCGTTTAATATGAAAGGTGACTTCTTGCCAGAGGGTAATGATCGGAGACCTACTTATGGCATCCCATGGATTATGCGGCATGTATCCGCATCATTTGTTCTGTGTAATAGAATTTGTGTATTAGAAGATTCTCGAAAAGCTATCCTGTTGGTATTTCATGGCTGGACTTCCAGTGCTCCATCCGTACCCAGTGCGGGGCCCGCCCGTCGCCTGCGTAGCTTCGCAACAGAATTTCGCAAACATTCCTCGTTCACCGGCAGACGCCCTAAGTGCTACGAAGGTCGTAACACATCCACCTTCAGAAGAATAGCATGTAGACGTGTTGTTGGACTGCCACTGAAGAAAATCTTAAACAAACGGACCTTCGTCGAACTCTCGACCAACAGAAACTGTCATGTCGCGAAGGCGCTTGTCTTAATAACCACTTGTTAACACGTGTCATTAGCCCACTGTTAAAAAATCATTCTCACTTCGCTTCCTACCACCTTTCAACTATACCACGTCTGCCACCGCCGCCGCCATGGAGCCAGCAGTGGAAATATTTTCCCACTTATTTACGGCCGCGCTGTGTAACAGCCGTCTCTTACCTTAGCTGTTTTAGCGGAAGTAGAGGGTCTCGTCCACGATTGGCGACCCAGCGTTAGGCGTGAGAAGAGACAAGGGAAGTCGGGATTCGAAGACATACGTCGAGAACGGTGACAGCAAGGTCTTGAACCCTGAACACTAGTATAGTGATACGTTAAGTGTCTGGCCGAAGCACTTCACCTGGGTGGCTTAAATGCGGCCCACCTGCCGCCATCTCCATTCCTGGAGTCTTGGTGCCGTACGCTAGGTTGTGATAGCGTACCAGAAAGTGAGTTCGTACAGTTAACGAGTATGGTTCGTAAATACGGGGCCGTACCGTTACTGTGATTAAGCTTTAATAGCTTAAAGATATTCTAAGGTAAATGTAGCTTGCTACATCCCTCCCCCTCAGAAGCGAACCGTCCCGGGAGCGTCACCTTTTCTTGCGAGCAGGTGCTTTCCGTTTCGGTTGTTCTGGGGTGCTGTTCCGGGGTGCTACCGAAGGAGGGGTGGTCAGGACCACTTTCCTTTTTGGTGTAGGTTGCCCGGACTTTGCCGCCAACCGTCGTTCATAGTCGTCAATAGCTTCGGCCAAGGGAACGGATTGACGCAGGGAATCTTCCGGTTCATAGGTGTTATGACTGGAGTCATAGCCTTCCCATTTAACCAGATATTCTCGACGTGTTTTGCCGGTTCCACCTCGGATTTTCACATCACGATGGTCAAGTAGTGCCTCAACCATGTAATATGGCTCTTCGTCAATTATGAACGGGGGCGGCGGTTGTCGTGTTCCATCGTCCTTGAATGGTTTGAGCAAGGATACGTGGAAGACCGGATGGAGTCGGGAAGTCGCGGGTAATCCCAATTTTACCGCGTTCTCTCCCACTCGGGCGACAACCTTATATGGCCCAATAAACTTAGGCAATAATTTCTTTGCTCCAGGAGATTTCAACTGGATGTTGCGGGTGCTGAGCAGCACGGAGTTCCCAACCTCAAAACGCACCGCACGCCGATGCTTGTCGACGACAATGCACTGGCGGGATTGAGCAGCTTTAAGACACTGTTTTGCGTTTTCAATACGTTTGCGCATGA